ATATTAAAAACTAAAAATGTCTTTTTTCTTTCCTTTTGATGGACTACTATTATGCAAACATGTGAGTAAAACTGATTTCAGGCATTTTGGAATATCCCAGTGACACACTGCATTTTACAAGTACTGAAAAATTTGTATTCTGGAGGAGAAAATGGGCTTAAAATTCAGAGCAAGAATTATTATTTTTTCTGAAGGGGAAAAAAATAAATGAAAGCGACATGGTGGTAATTCCCTTATTGTGATTTATTTTTGGCTACACCTTGCAGCAACTGTGTTCTCCAAACTGAAGGGTGCTTAATTCTTCACTTTCTTCTGTATTCTGCAGGTCCCATAACAACAAACTGCAGTCTACAGCTTCTTAGAGTTCAGCGTGTTAACCAAACACACGAGCAAGGATCTGGTTGTCTGACAATTTTTAATTAAGGAGCCAGATGTTTTTAGTCAGGTTATCCTGACAAGACTCGATGTAAACTGCGTTTTTATTGGTCACAACAGTCAAATTATATTCTTGGCTTATTTTGTCCAAAGGACAAAGAAATAAAAATCAGCAGCACCACTTTCTTGTCAAGATCAAATTGTTGTACTATTGTGGCAGAAGCAGGAAAACTTTGTTTTGTTGAAGGAGAGAGAGAGCAAGAAAAAAGATACAGTAAATGGGGTCACGTTTAACTCCATGGAAATGCCACGTCTGTTCTTCAGTGAAGAAGCTGGTTTAAAGTCCACACAGAAAACTTTGACTGTATTTATTTATTGTTGCAAAAAAGACGCTTTTTTATTGCTGCCCTCATTTGTCAGCTAATTATTTTTTCTTATAAAATCCAGCCCTGGTTCCATGTAATCCATTCTGTATCTTAACATGATTCCTGTAGGTAAAAGTACAAGAAGACCTCTAGATGTCTTTTCTTTCTATGAAAGGAGCTGCTATGTACACATGTGCACACACACAGGACTGGGAATCAACAAGGAGTTTATCATTCATGGTAGATAAAAACAAGCTTGCATAAAATTTGGGCTGAGTGGTCATGGACTACAGACTCTGTTGCCTTGAATATAACAAACAGTACAATTTGTCATTTACTCTGCACCAGACTGAACTGAGTAAAATCTATTTGAAGGTATCTTGTTTGTAAACATTTGTCAGATTCTAATTTTTTTTTCTTTTGTATTAAAATTCAAAATATGGATGTATATGAAACAAAATAAATGGAGATCATTGTTCTCCCCACAGCAGTAGGTGTGTTTGAGTGTGCGCTGCCACGTGTGTGAGACACTCTGGGGATCTGGACAGGGATTGCAGGGAGCAGGGATTGCCAGGAGCAGGGTGGGAATGGCCAAGGAGTGGGACCCAACCCCATCAGACATTGCCACAGGGTGCCTGAAGGATGGGACAGGGCAGGAGCTGTTTGTGGTTCCAGCCCTGACTGTCCAGGAGGGACAGGGCAGGAACTGTTGGTGAGGTTTTCCTGCCCTGACTGTCCAGGAGGGACAGGGCAGGAACTGTTTGTGGTTCCAGCCCTGACTGTCCAGGAGGGACAGGGCAGGAACTGTTTGTGGTTCCAGCCCTGACTGTCCAGGAGGGACAGGGCAGGAGCTGTTTGTGGTTCCAGCCCTGACTGTCCAGGAGGGACAGGGCAGGAGCTGTTTGTGGTTCCAGCCCTGACTGTCCAGGAGGGACAGGGCAGGAGCTGTTTGTGGTTCCTGCCCTGACTGTCCAGCTGGGCCAGGGCAGGAGATGTTTGTGGTTCCAGCTCTGCTATCCCCATCAGACATTCCCAAAGGGTGCCTAAAGGGCTGTCCAGCTGGGCCAGGGCAGGAGATGTTTGTGATTCCAGCCCTGTTATCCTGTCAGACATTCCCATAGGGTGCCTGAAGGACTGTTCAGGTGGGACAGAGCAGGAGGTGATTCCAGCCCTGACTGTCCAGGTGAGACAGGAGCTGTTTGTGGTTCCAGCCCTGTTATCCTGTCAGACATTCCCACAGGGTGCCTAAAGGACTGTTCAGGTGGGACAGGGCTGGAGCTGTTTGTGGTTCCAGCCCTGTTATCCTGTCAGACATTCCCACAGGGTGCCTAAAGGACTGTCCAGCTGGGCCAGGACAGCAGGAGCTGTTTGTGGTTCCAGGCCTGACTGTCCAGCTGGGCCAGGGCAGGAGGTGTTGGTGAGGTGTTCCTGCCCACTGGAGCTCAGTGACCTTTGCCAGGTGCTCTGGGATTGTGGAGTGCCACCTGTAGTTGTGTCCCTGGGGGCTCCTGGGCTGCCCTGAGGGGTGAACTGGAGCCCAAGAAGATGCAAACTGCAGATGAGGAGGCTTTTCCTTCCCTGTGTGTGACTGACTTGCTCTGGTACCTGTCTGTAGTTCCCAGCCCTGGTTTCTCTGCAGCTCCTCACCCACCTGACCAGCTTTTGCACTAACTCACAGTCAACTTCTGTTCTACAGTGGTCTGGGGTTTATCTGATTTAAGGATCAGCTCCTTTTGGGTTTAACCTCACACCTTGCTATGCAAGAACCTCCTCTGTTATTTTTCTTACAAAAGATGTTGCTACTGACCACCCTTTCTTACACTTCCAGCTCAGGTGTTCAGGTTCTTCTGGGGGGATTTTATCTACTAAAAACCCGTGTGTTTTTGTACATACAAATGTTGTCATTTAACCAATCTGTGAAAATTACTAATTGTTCAGTGTGGAAACAATAACCCATTTATGCTTCTGAAAGTCAAAGAAGAGTAGTTGCATTTAGGTTATGTTGTCCTTTGACGTTTTAAAAAAATGCTGCATATTGTAAGCATTGTGTTTTAATGGGACAAGGAAAATCTCACCTTTAACAGCACTGGGACATATCCTGCATCTCATCCCAACTTCTCAGCATTTCTGTACTATTTATTCATACCTAAATCCATATTGACATGGTTGAAACCTTTCCTACCTGTAGGCAATAGATTGCTGTTTTTAACAAATTGTGGCAAACTGAAGAGTACTTTTTTGTACCTTATAGGACACATCATCCTAGACAAATAAAGTAATGTGTTTGACATGGATTTGGTGGTGTTTCTAATGAAACATTGATAATGTTCTTGGATATAGGTCTTGGCTTTGCCAGATCATATGTAACTGTGAACCAGTTTGATTAGGGAAATAATCCATCCATGCAATTGAATGCTGCTGATTAATCACCCAACCCAACCCATTCTGTGATTCCATGGGAGCCTCTTTCAGTGGGTTCAGTTGCCATTGGGCAGGTCAAGGTACTCCTCTGGATTTGCTAGTGGTGATGTTTTATATTTAAATGGTGTTACAGAAAATAAATCACTTGTAATTAATCCCCACCTGCCATCAAGCATAAAGTTCATAAGATTTGTGATCTCTGCTCAGTCCTTGTCTTCTTTGTATTTTATAAATTATTACAACAGTTGTTTTGAAATGGTCATATGTTGTAAGATATTGATAATATGAGCTGTGCCAGCTTGATTTTCCTTTTCTGTCTCCTCCAATTTGAAGCAATTATCCTCAATCTCTGTGTAGTTCATGCAGAAATTAATGGAGATTTAAAGTACAGTAAGAAGTTGGGCTTACCAAAAAGCCTTGAGTAAACTCCTGGACAGATGGGATGAGAACAGTTATTCCCTTACACCCAGATTTCTGTGTGGTGGCAGCAGAATTTTCCATACTTACCCTGCTGGAAAGGAAATTACTGACTGTGAAGTACCAGAATTGCCATGGCAGCTGTTGGATGTGAGTGCCACCCCATTCCCAGTGTGGCTATTGCTGGGAGGGATTTGGAATAGCAAGTGCAAGACTGGAAATCCTCTCGATCTGGGAGTTGTTGTTCAGAAGGTGTGTTTAGGATGTGATGGGCCTGGGGACAACAGTCCTGCTCCTGCTCCAGCCCTGTCTCAGTGGGGCTGTGACACACAGGGATTTGTTGCTCAGCTGCTGTGGGAACACTTTAAGGAGGGACCTTCCAGTCGAGAAGGGAAAGGTAAGAGGACTTGGTAACAAGGAAGAGATCAGGGGATAAATCACTTTTCAGGCTCCCAGAGCAACATCTGTATCCCAGTGTTTTGTGTCAGTTGTGGGCACTGAACCCAGGCTTGGGATGTCCTTACTCTGTGTTTGTCCCTTCCCAGAGACAGCCCCAGGGAGGCACAGGCTGGGTTTGTGCCCACACTTCCCTGGGCTGCAGCAGGATAACGGGAATGGGGCTCAGGCCTGCTCTGGGGGATGCCTGGAGGAGTTGCTGCTTAGTCCTGGACTTCCCCTGAAAATAGAAACAAAGGAACTCGAGATGCACATGTAACCCTTCCTCCTTCTGTCCTCCCAGTCACTCCAGAGCTTTGATTCATTGCCAGAACAGTCCTTCTGCCAAATCAAAACCCCCTCAGATGTTCTCAGGAAAATTCCATCAATCCATGCTGTGCTCCATGCAAAATCTTTCACATACCAAAAGTGAGACATGGTATTTTTTAGGTAGACTCATGCTGTGAGTAAATTTCTATCCAGTAAGAGCCTTTTGGGTCCCAAATAGGGGATGTTTGTTCTTGGTATTTGGCTCCATGTCAAGAAATACTTGATGCAGCATAGCCCATCCCATCCCCTGCTCTGTGGCTTTCCCGTGACACCAAATGGGGCTGCAGAGGTGTGTGACAAGTATAGGGTGTCAGAACTACCTTGTTTCAAAACAGAAAATGCTTCTATATAGAAGCCACTGCTTCCTGTGGCAGCTCACATTGTATCGCTGAGTCTGTGGGGTTTTAAGCTCTACTCAATTTTTTACATTTCTTAATATAAATATGTATCAAATCCTCAGCCAACTTGTCACACAAGGAGATGCCTTTGTGCAACATCATTATATAAGATTTTTGGGTCTTCCAGAGCCCAGGAGACAGTGAAAGCAGAACCTCATGAGCATTTTATTCGTTTCTTTAACAGACTTATTATTTGCGAATACTGACTGGGAACAAACATCTCAATTTCACCACTCTAAAGGTAATAAAATGTTGTCTGTTTGGTTTAAAAAGTAACTTTACTCTTGTGCACGTACAAGCTTGGCAATATTTCTCCTGGGGAATGACATTCAGCACAGCTCTGGGACAAAGTGCCCTGGCACACCCAGTGTGTGCAGCCCATGCTCATTTTGCATTCCCTGCATCATTACTTGTAAATGCAACTGGGCATTTGTGTTTTGCAGTTCTTGATTTGCTTTCAGTCAGTGTTCATATACTCAAATTATTACATTCTATTCTGTATGCTTTGTGTGAACATCCAGCTCTGCTGGAAGAATGGTGTAATTTTCAGAAATACCATGGACATGGTTGAGGAGACAAAAATAATACAAATGGTACTCAGAGGTGTTGGTTTCTCTGAAATCAAATGCATTAGGCAGAACTGTGAAAGCACAGTGAACATCCTGTGTAGATAAAGCTGTGGTATCATCTCATGTGTTCAAGGTGCAGGGTTCAAAGTGCAGTTGTTGTGTACCGAGGACAAAATGCCAGAATTTTGCATTACAGTTACTACAGATTATTCGGGGCACTCTGCAGCAGGGGAAGCAACAATAACCTGTGGCTCTGAAAGCAGCTGGAGCAAATTCCCGGCCGGTTAACATTCCCTAGAGTGTCCTCTGTGCCGAGCCTCGCCAGGGGTGCCTGCTCCAGGCACCCGGTGTTTGCTGAAGCACAGAAGCGGCTGCTGGCCTGCGGCTCCAGGCGGGAGCGCTCCGAGGGTGGATCCCGCTGCTCCCACGTCCTGGACGGAGCCCCCGGAGCCTTAAGGACACTTGGAGCGCGCTGCCCTCACCCTGAGATCCCTTTTCCTGTTGAATCTCCTCACGAAGCCGCTGCCGCTCCCGACCCAGCCGTCCCCCGGGCGCAGCCGCCCGCGCAGCGCCGGCAGCAGCTCCGCGGGCACCTGGCGGCGCTTGTGGTGGATGTGCCCCATCACGATGTACCTGCTGCCTGCAACGACAGGAACGGAGCAAACGGGGAGCTGAGCCTCGGGGAGCCAGTGGGGGTCACTCCGAGGGCACCGGGGTTGGGAACAGACACCAAGTTGTGCCTATGGAAGCATCCCGGACACAGGGCTTCCACTGCGGCACCCTGAGCTCCGCTGGGTCCTGGGGTGGGGCTGCCATGGAAATGATGATTTGCTCTTGGGGGAAGTGCTGGTATTTGATAAACTTGCACTTAAAAGCGTTATAGATGGATAATGAGATGACTGGCTCTCGTACTTAAGGGATGACTATTGTGTGAATATTAAGAAAAGTTTTAGTGATGTATAGTTATGTTGCTGTAGTTTAGATGTCCTCTGTTCTCCCCATGGTTCCCTTTTCCTCCCTGTATGGTGACCATCAGACAGCCAGGGTTGTCTAGGACAGGTACAAAGAAGGCTGCACGTGTCCCTTGCATGGGGCAGTTGGGAATGGAAAAGCTCAGGGGGTGCTTAGGGGGTGCAGCAACACCTGAGCTCCAATCAAGTTACAAGAAAGCAGTTTGCACTGATAAATGGCAAAGAAGAGTGACTGACAGACCTTGGGAGGGGCCAGCGCTGGCTGAGGCAACCCCCAGGGGTATAAAAGACTGAGCATCCATCTTGAAGATGAACTGGCCATGTGGTATCCATGAGGGCAGTTCTCAGCACTGCAAATTTTTCCTTCTATAGTCCTTTTGTTGTATTTTTGTCAAGCTTTTTAAATTTTCAAAGTGAGCAGTTGCTTCTCACAAAAGGAAAACTGAACAACTTACAAAGGCACCAACTAAAGCTCTCTTGTATTGTTTTAGGAACCCTGAAAACTTGCCATCATTTTGGAACTGGAGAGAATTAAGAAAGGGCTACACTGGTACCTGACTTCTTCATGCAGTTGGTTCTCTTGTGAAAGTTTGGAGAAACTTGGATGGAAAAAAGGCCTCAACTTTGAGTACATACTTTTCTTCCAAATTTTCCCAATGACCCAGGCTAAGCCTATTAAAGTAGGGCAGACTGAGATTGCAGTGCATGCAGAGGAATAGCAGAATGGATTTAGCTGGAATGATTTACCAAGTTTAAAGTCTGGGCATGGTTTACTGCAGTGGAAAGTATCCACAACCAAGATGTGAACTCGGAAGAAGGCGGCGTCAGGAGTGACATAGAGGCGGCTCATCCTGTACAGTCCATCCCTGTCCACCAGCAGGGTGATCCACTGCACTCCATGCCCCAGGCTTTCCAGGTTATAAACAATTCCATTCACTGCTGGTTTAAGGGAGAGGGAAAAATAGGATCAGAATCGATATCATGGCAATTTTCAGGGCATGTGTGAAGGCTGTAATTTGAAATGCTGTAAAGGAAGTGTCAGCAGGAATCCTTTGGCTCAGGAGTGGGCAGTAGGAATTGCTTCAAATAATCACATTTGGTGAGGTCATTGCCTGAAGTTTTGCTGCTTTGCAAACCTAGTGCTTTACAAGTTTGAGATATTTCTTAGGGAAGAAAGCAATGGGTTTAGTACCATTTTCTATCCTGATATATAAAAAGTGGGCATATTTACCTAACAAAGTAAAATTTTCAAATTTAAAACTTCCCAATGAAGTACAAAGCCAAGCTGGTAATGAAACACTTTGGCTTTTGAAATAAAAGGCCCTTGCCATACCAAGAGACAGGGGCACAAGTAGGTTGTGTTGGGAGCTCAGACAATCACTTCATGCTGCTCTCTCAGTTTCTGGCTCTGGCAAGTGCTGAGCTGAGTGCAGGGCTGGGAAAACAGCTCTGTGTCAGTGGGGCTACTGCAGCTGGTGTTACACCTGAATCAGGGGGAGAGCTCTGATTCAGTCATTTATTCTTTTATCTGCACTGTAAATATAAAGAAAGGAAAAGCTCTCTCTGATGGCTGCTGTGGAACCTTGGCTCATCTGTTGCTCAGACTTTTTCCTACCTGTCCTTTCAATTTAGGAGCAGAGCTGTTTGTTAAGGGCTAAAACACACAGAGGTTGGGTTGCTGTGAAGCCCATGTTGGACAGGATTGTGTGAGAGTGGTAAAAACCAAAGCAGGACAGCATTTGTAGAAAGCACTTCCTGACTTCTCCATTTAGAGAAAACAGATGTCTCCTAACGTGTTTATGTTCTACAAATGGAAACATCTGTTACCACTGGGCTTGTATTTTCCTTATCTCTTAAAATACTGTGAGAAAAAGTTGGTATCTGTTTCACAACTCTGTAAGAACAAGGCAGGGTTTCTGTCAGAAAATGCTTGTCCTTAAACAAAGTCTGTACAAAAATACCAGGCTGTTTCCTGCCATCTTTAGTTACATCAGTGTGAACACAAGGACTAAAGACACTGAATCCTAAGGAACTTCAAGAAGAATCCTCTCTAGAGAGAGCATCACAGCCTTCTTTCTGTTTGGTTCACCATTTTATTTTAATTTCAAACTTCAGCCTAGAAAATCAAACTCGCTCTAAATAGTAAGAGATAAATAACCCAGCTGCAATGTTTAATCTGAGAGTATCTAAAACAATTGGTCTTTTCAGTTCCATTGACCAGTCCCAAAGACACTGTTCCTCCAGAGGAAACAAAAAAAGGGCAGTACTAGCCCAAGGGAGGGAAAGGATAATGTAAGTATGTCTCTGAAGAGCTGTGATGGGTCCTTTTGGAATACTTGGTAATTATTGAACATACTTACCATATCTTAATCACAGTATTTTAAAAGTAGCAGTGCAGTATCAGTGACAAGTAGACAGAAGGGGCTCTGTCCCTGTGGGTTGAGGGGGACAGCACCTACCGAACTCGCTGGCACAGAAAGCCTCCCCTTCATCCCGCTCCTTCCGGCATTCGCTCTGACACAGCTTCTCCTTGTCACCGTCTGCAAGAGGAGCACAGCCTGAGGGACAGCCACGGGCCCTTGGAGGATCTGTCCCTACACTGTGCCCCAGCTTTGGGCAGCCTGTCCCTCACCTGTCCCTCTCTGTGCAGCCTGTCCCTCACCTGTCCCGCTGTGGGCAGCCTGTCCTGCTCCGGGCAGCTCCGGGCAGCCTGTCCTGCTGTGGGCAGCCTGTCCCTCTTTGTGCAGCCTATCCCTCACCTGTCCCAGTGTGGGCAGCTCCGGGCAGCCTGTCCCACTGTGGGCAGCCTGTCCTGCTCTGTGCAGCCTGTCCCTCACCTGTCCCTCTCTGTGCAGCCTGTCCCTCACCTGTCCCTCTCTGTGCAGCCTGTCCCTCACCTGTCCCTCTCTGTGCAGCCTGTCCCTCACCTGTCTCTCTCTGTGCAGCCTGTCCCTCACCTGTCTCTCTCTGGGCAGCCTGTCCCTCACCTGTCTCTCTCTGTGCAGCCTGTCCCTCACCTGTCCCTCTCTGGGCAGCCTGTCCCTCACCTGTCCCTCTCTCTGCAGCCTGTCCCTCACCTGTCCCTCTCTGTGCAGCCTGTCCCTCACCTGTCTCTCTCTGTGCAGCCTGTCCCTCACCTGTCTCTCTCTGGGCAGCCTGTCCCTCACCTGTCTCTCTCTGTGCAGCCTGTCCCTCACCTGTCCCTCTCTGGGCAGCCTGTCCCTCACCTGTCCCTCTCTCTGCAGCCTGTCCCTCACCTGTCTCTCTCTGTGCAGCCTGTCCCTCACCTGTCTCTCTCTGTGCAGCCTGTCCCTCACCTGTCCCTCTCTGTGCAGCCTGTCCCTCACCTGTCTCTCTCTGTGCAGCCTGTCCCTCACCTGTCCCGCTCTGTGCAGCCTGTCCCTCACCTGTCTCTCTCTGTGCAGCCTGTCCCTCACCTGTCCCGCTGTGGGCAGTCTGTCTCTCTGTCGGCAGCCTGTCTCTCTGTTGGCAGTCTGTCCCTCTCTGTGCAGCCTGTCCCTCACCTGTCCCGCTCTGGGCAGTCTGTCCCTCACCTGTCTCTCTCTGTGCAGCCTGTCCCTCACCTGTCCCTCTCTGTGGAGCCTGTCCCTCACCTGTCCCCAGCTCGCCGCGGTGCCTCGGGCTGGGCTCCCAGCGGTTCGTGACCCACGAGGCTTTGGGGATCCTCCGGGACGGGTCGGGCTCTTTGTAGGCCATTCCCTTCCCCGCTCGGTTGAAGTGGTGCAGCGAGTCAGGGTCATTGGGCTCCCCCGTTCCGGAGTCCGGGAAAGGATGGGTTTCCAGCAGGGCCATGGCCTTGGGGCGGGGAGGGGCTCGCAGGGCCCCCAGGCTGTTGGCAGCCCCGGCCAGCCGCCGGTCCGTGTGAGGCCTGTTGGCCCGGCCGGGAGCAGCCCCCGGGGCCCGGGGCCCTGCGTGCTGCCCCAGCTGCTTCCTCAGCCCCGTGCTGTTCTCCAGGGAAGGCTCCGCGCGTTTCCTCTTGTCGGGGGTGAGGGAGGGGATGCCCGCGGGCCCGGGGGGCATTCCCGGGAGCCGGCCCTCCCTGGCATTCCCGCTGGCACTGCCCGTGCCCCGCGCTGGCTCCTTCACCTGAACCTCAGCTGCTGGACTGAAAACATCTTTGCTCAGAGCCTGGCTGGGTTTCTCAGCATAGAGCAGGGATCCTACAGGCAAAAAAAGGTGAGGGAAAATCAGTGTTTTAAGTATTTTATTTCAAATGTTTCAGAATGAGAAGACTTGAGGGTCTAATCCATAAGTGAGGCCTTCAACAATAAGATATAAAACTAATAAATAGCTCAATAGATGAAGCACAGTAGAGCTCCTCGTTCCTCTACTCAGATATTGAAGGTCCAGTACAGGGAATGCAGCTGCGTGAGCAAAACAGGAGATTTGCATTTTTACTTTATTATTGTTGCAAATTAAAAATAAACCCTTTTCTCAAACCCCTGAATCTCCAGGGAGCATCTGAGGAAACAAGGTTCACGTTGCCATTTGGGATGCTTGTTTAAGAGACTGTGACAGCAGAACTCTTTGGTTTTCCCATCCATGGGATGCCTGTTGACAATGTCATCCAGACTCTTCAGCAGCTTTGGATGCTACTGGAAAGGTCTTTATCCACAGTTTTGTATCTCTGACTTGAGCATGTAGTAGCAGTAATTAGGCCAGTGCTGCTGAGTAACAATTATTTCAAGGCTTTGCTTAATTTGAGAGGATATTTGAGAAAGAGAGGAAGTGTCTGGAAATCCAGGGAAAAAATAACTTAATGGCACTGTTCACACAAGCTGGGCAATCACCTACACTTTCATTTATACCTTCACCTTGATCCTTTGAACCTCACAAAGAAAAACAACCAAAATGTTTAGCCAGGCAGGAGAGACATTTCCCCTGGCAGTCTATTTTCCTTTTCCTTTAGACCTTCCCTGCAGGCTTGGAGCGAGCCAGCAGAGTTTTCACACAGCTCACCCACACACAGCCTCTGTCTGGTGCTCATGGCTGTGGTTATCCTGTGTAGGAGGCTGATCCCAGCTCCTTGTGTGAAAAGAGAGATTTGACATACACAGATGAACAACGTCCTGGTTTATCTCCTGTCACTGACTCAACTGCTGACCTTGCCACTTCTCCCCCTGTGCTCTCACCAGCTGCTGTCATGGGAAAGATTCCCTGATATTTGGGCTGGCCACACGTAAAGTCTAAAGAATGTCCATGGAGAGAGGGGTGGAAGGAGTCCAAGCTGCCGAAAGCAGCAGGCAAGGGGGGTTTGGAGATGGTTCAGTGTGAAGCTGTGCCCTCTGAACAGGTGTCTCAGACTTGGGTGTGTAAATAAACTCTTCTACCACTTTATCACGCCTTCTCAGTCACAGATTGTATCAAGAAATGGTTCATTTTCCCCTACTCAATCTGTTCAGGACCTTGAGGTTCCTCCTCCTGTACCAACATATTCCTGTCTAGTTGCTGCAACCTCAGAAATACGACTGCAACATAACCAAATCTCAGTGGAACAGATGTAAATGCTATTTCTGTTCTGTCAGTGAGGCACTAAAACCCAAATAAATCCATTCAGGACAGCTTGCTGCAGACATACAAGGCACACTGAACATGGTAAAGTCAGGCAGACAGACACCTGGAGTTACAGGTGAAGGGGACTAAAAGAGAAAGATCACATACAAATTTAAAAATCCTAGATGCAGAAGCAAATCCAACTTCACCTGATACAAATTATAAAAATCCCAGATGCAGAAGCAAATCCAACTTCACCTGATACAAATTATAAAAATCCCAGATGCAGAAGCAAATCCAAATTCACCTGCCGGTGGTGGCTGGCAGGACAGAGCAGCACCAGCTCCCTGCCTGCTTCTGCCAGGTGCTCTTTATTCTTCCTAATACTGGCAAATTAAATATTGCAATCTACACTCCCATCCCACAAACACGTTGAAATGTTTCTTTCTTGAGCCCTTACTTGCTGCAGAGGCTGCAGGCTGGGGGGCTGCCCGGGTTTGCAGGAATGTCCTCAGCCTCAGATGTGCCCCAGCCCCGCTCCAGAGGTAACACACTTACCAGAAGATGATCTAATGGCAAAGCAGAGGAGCCAGAACACTTGGGTTGTCATTTTGAAGTGAAGTTTTTCCAGACTCAAAATGAGCTGGAGCCTTTTATGCCCTTCCCCCGATCCATGCTAATGAGAGGCAGCCCGAGGGGAAGCGGGAATCACTGGCTGGACAACCCACTGGAGCAGGACCAAGCTGCTGCCTCCACCAGCCCTGCCTGGAGGAATGCGCTCCTTCCCAAAGGGAACAACCCGCTGGCTCCACACCTGTGTCCTGGGGATAACACACCCACACGTGCTTCTGGCAGCACATTTTTATTTTTGGGAATGTCTTGCCCTCCTCTGGCACTTTATAGGGAAAAATCATAGGGGACAAGGCTGGCTATGGAGAGCTGTGTTCTGGGGGGAACTGGGAGATGCTGGAATACACCAGAGCCCTGGCACACAGGGCCTGTAAAGGATGTGCATGACAATGGAACATATCTGGGGATTTCTGGCCACCTTCAGTGATACAGCTGCTAATCTCCTCTTTTACTTTCAGGAACCAGTTTCTGTGATTCTTTTCAGACTGAAAAATGCAGTAGTGAGTGTCTAGTCCAAGGGAAAGCTCTGCTGATCCCACACAGCTTTATTTTTAAATCTCTCTTTGCCATCATGAAGAACTCTGCAAATTTTCTCACACCAAGCCAACCCTGATTTGGATTACTGAGTTAAGAAGGCTTATTTCTAAGTGACCTTATTGCTACACAAGATTTCCATTGTGACAGTTTAATTCACCAGCTGCTGCCGGGTGCTGTGGAAGCTGCTCATGACTTTAAGGGACAACCAACAACTTAAAACTCCATAAAGGCACTGAAAGGCTCCTGAAACCCATCTTTGACGGAAAATGTAACCCTCAGCAATGTCTGTGGCATGGGATTCAGTGTTGCTTAGTTTAAGCAGTTGTTTTGTCCTGCCTTAATTAAGCATTTTAATAGGATTCCCAAAAGCTCAGGGCTTTGTCTCCAGCAGCCATGGATGAAGATAAAGAAAATTTACCAGAATAGTGTGGAAAATAAATGACATTTCACCACATCTATTACTCAAGGAGTTACATTTCTACTGCAGCACTTACTCATCTTTGTTTTCCTCTGTTATTTGAAACATTTTTAATTTCAGAACTATCCCAAGATAGCTATTACAGGAATAGGAATGTAAACTGAGGATGAGGGAGAGGAGGGCTCCTCCATTGCTTTGGTGAGCAGCAGGTACCTGCAGCAAGCAGAAGCTGAATTGGGATGGATGGATGGATGGATGGATGGATGGATGGATGGATGGATGGATGGATGGATGGATGGATGGATATACACACACATGAGCATCCCACAGACCTGTATGCCAAGGATTTTAATTCAACCCTCATTCATGTACAGCTGTGTCTGCAGTGTTTTCCCAGCCTCTTTATCTGGGCAGGATCTCCATTAAGAGCACAGTAGCGGTGTTTGGAGCACTCCAGCATTCCAGCAGGGATGCTCGAGCAGCAGAGATGTAAAAGCTTTCCCAGCGGCGCTGGGCAAAAGAAGGACCGAAAGCGCCTTGGCCACGTCCGGCCCGGGTGTTCCCCGGCTGCGGCTGTCGCGGAGCCCCGGGGAGGGAGCGGGACCCACTCGCAGGACAGCCGCGGCTCAAGGCAGGACTCGGCGCCTGGGCAGAGCAGGGGCTCGGGGCCCGGCCCGGGGAAGCTGCCGGTAAAAGAGTCGGGAATCCCGAGCACGGGTCGGCTGCGCCACAAAACGAGCGCGGCACGACCCAGATGGGACTCGAACCCACAATCCCCAGCTCCGGAGGCTGATGCCTTATCCATTAGGCCACTGGGTCACCCAGGGCTGCTCGGCTGCGCCGCCTGGTAAGAGCCCCGCCCGGCCGGCCCCGGCTCCGCCCCCCGCGAGCTGTCATGTTCTCCCTACTTGCGGCGAGCCGGCCCCGCCCCTCCTTCCTCGCACACCATTGGTCGCGCTGCCCCCAGGCCCCGCCCCCCGCGGCCCCGCCCGCGCCTCAGAGCGGGTTCCCGCCCTCACTGTCAGAGCGGCGCGCGGCTGCTTGAGGGACCCGCCCGGGGCCGCCGCGCTGTCCCGGGGACGCCCGGCCACCGCCGCCCTCCTGTCCCTTTAAACTCCCCCTTACGGGCCCGGTCCTGGCTCCTGTGCTGCGGCCGGTAACTTCATCCAGTCCCGGCGGCTCCACACTCGGCCTTCTCAGGGAACACCCCCCCCCCGCCCCATCAGGGCTCTGTGACCCCTCACGGCCCTTTTGCCCCACAACCTCACCCGCAGCTTGGCCGCTGTCCTGCCCCAACTGCCCTGTCTCCCTCCACCTCTCTGTCCCTTCGGAGCTGTCCCCTCCCTCACAGCCCTCACTGCTTGCAGCATCTCACACACACCCCCCCGGCACCTCAGGCACTGCCAGCCCTCTCCCTGCCCTCAACGCCCATCTCTGCATCCAGATTTCACTGCTCCAGACCATGCACTGCCAGCGATTCATGACGCAATGGAATTTCTTCGTGCTAGCCTTCCAGTCTTTCCAGGAAAGCAGGTGGTGTACCTCCATTTCTGCTTTTGAACTGCCTATTTTTCCTTTGTCAAACTACTCTTGTTTAATATCTCCATTTGTTAGCAATGTGCTTTCTCTGTTCTTGTTTTAGTGGGTGTTTTTTACAAAGCTCAGCACTGTAAGGCCCAAACCCAGCGATATGAGATGTCACTGATAATTCCTTCTCCTCGACAAACATTCTCCACACTTGTGTGCACCTACAGGGCATAAGTGGTTTAATGTGATGGTTTAGCACACAGACATATCGATATGCATACCTGACACTTCTCTGTGTTGGACCTTATAGGTGTCTCGAAATGTCAGAGTTGTGTTTTCCCTACAGTTCTTTGGTTTGAATATCTCCTGTGAAAATCAGTGTTCTTTTGTAGTCCATCCCTCATGAGCAGGCCAAACCCATCAGAAACAATCTCATCCCTTTCCAGGCCATGACACAGGGGCAGGAATCCTTTTCTTTTGTTATTCCGTATTATTTGTTTTTCATCTGCCCTGATGGCTGCAGAACTGCTTCCAACTGCAATCTCATATCCCCTTTTCTTTGCATTTCTGGGCACCACATTTCTGGGAGACAATAAGTGAGGCATGGAGCCCTGGAACCATGGAATCACAAAATGGTTTGGGTTGGAAGGGACCTTAAAGCTGATCCAGTTCCACCCCCTGTCATGGGCAGAGATACCTTCCACTACCCCAGGTTGCTTGGAGCCCCATCCAGCCTGGCCTTGGACACTTCCAGGGATGGGGCAGCCACAGCTTCTCTGGGAAACTGTGCCAGGGCCTCACCACCCTTACAGGAAAGAATTTTTTCGCAATATCCCATCTAAACCCAATCTCTTTCGGTTTGAAGCCGTCCCCCTCGTCCTGTCACTACACGCCCTTGTCCCAGGGGAAGCCTGCCGTGCCCCGCTGGTTACTGAGGCAGAATCTGTGCTCTGCCTGAGGGAATGGGTGTTTCTGCCCCAAACCGCTCAGAGCGAGACCCCTCTGGGGCCACAATTCCCTGACTCCGACCCCCCGCTCCCGTCCCGGGGTATCACCGAGCCCGGCCCCGCGCACTACAGCTCCCGGCGTGCCCCGCGCCGACCCACACAGACTTGCAGGCGCTACCTGCGCCAGGCACGCTGGGAGCTGTAGTACCGAACCTTGGGCATACGTCACGTCCGACCGGCTCTTCCGGGAGGGCATTCCCCGTCCTCGCGAGCCGGGCAGCTTTCAAACCGGCCAATCAGAAGGCTGCTTTGGCTCGAACTGGCCAATGGCAGGGCGCGGCCGCGGGAAATTTAAATGCCGCGTGGGGCGGCCGTGGGCAGTGGCAGCGTGCGGCAGCAGCGGAGCGACCGGCGGCGCCTCCGGCCGAGGTGCGGGGGCTGGGACTGGGGTGGTGGGGACGCGGACCCTGCGCTGCCCTTTTGGAAAGAGCCGTGCTCTGCCTGCAGTCCTGCCGGGGCCTCTCTCGGGAGCCTCCCGCGTCTCCGCTGTCTGCACTGGGGCTGGCAGAGCTGGTGTATCCCAGCGCGGGTTGTCGCTCCGGCGGGGCTGTGGCCGAAGCGAAGCCGGTTCTTATTCTGGGGGTGGCCGAGGTGCAGGGGTTTTCTTCGTTAGCCGTGTAGCCGTTGTTATCTGCTGCTGGCTACACCCGCTCTGCAAACGTTCCTCGGGATCCTTCCTATTGCGAGAGCTCGCTGTTCTCGTCCAAAAAGGTCGGGGTGGGGCTGGGTGGGATCCTGTGCAGCAGAGGTACGTGATAGTGAAAATAGTATTTAACAGTGTGTGTGTGTTGTCTGTGGAAAGGAGAATCTATGTTGCTCCTGAAAATAATAACTAATAGTATTTGGTTTAAAGTGCCTTAAAATCGTGTGAGTGTGTCTTCTGCTGTTGTGTTGATGCTAGAGCTTGTTGTAACATCTGGCTCTTTAAAGAGACAGCGATTGATCAAGTCAGATGTTGTTATAGTATTAATACAATCAAGTGCCTCTTATTCTTGAGTATGGATCCAATTTTTAAAATTTAGCTTTTGTGGAGTAAACTTGCCTTTACCCTGTTTTCAGGCTTGTTTTTATCTGTCCCGCTCGAAACTCTTAACAAGCAAGATGTCTACTAATGAGAATGCCAATACACCGTCAGCTCGACTGAACAGATTCAAGAACAAAGGGAAGGACAGCACGGTAAGTACACTGGTGCAATTAGTATTTTAGCCGTTGTCTCTTTAAATCTAAGTTTTGAAAGCCAAGAACTTACTCTGAGAGTTTTTCCTTAGGAGATGAGAAGGCGGCGCATTGAAGTCAATGTGGAGCTGAGGAAAGCTAAGAAAGATGACCAGATGCTTAAAAGAAGAAATGTGAGCACTTTACCAGACGATGCTACTTCTCCCCTTCAGGAAAACAAAGGCAACCAGGTAAGTGGGTACTCAGAATAGACACATGATGAGGACCATCTAAGGTCCTGCAGCCAGGCCAGCATGAGCCCCTTCTTGAGGGCAGG